ATAAAAGGAGAAGGACGTGTCCTCTCTCCATCATCGTATTTTTACAAATACCATGACTACATAGTACATATTAAAACGAGGGTAACACGTAAATTCAATTACTTAGGGTGAGTATGGTTTTATGTTTTCAAACTATTTCCAATTTTACAAAATAATGAAAATGTGCTTGATCTAGTATTTTCTGAAAATATATCTTTGAAAAACAATGATAAACTTATAATATAAAACTCAAGATGTCTTTTTGAAGTTTTGAGCGTTTTTGGTAAAAAATTTGAAAACATTCAAAACATGTAAAACAAGTGTTTAAATAAAATTTTAAAAATTAAAATTTTTAAAAATATAAATAGAAATTCTAACAATAAAAATTTCTAAAAATTATAAAAAATAATAAATAGTAAATAAAAAAAATTCAAGTTCTTAATAATTATTTACACAAAAATTTCAAAAAAATATTTAAGTGAGCATAGACAAAAATATTCTCGGTCCATATCATTAATTTTTATTTTTATTTCGTATATTTTAAACTCGATTGATTATCTATTTTGATTTACTTTTGTAGCGAGAAAAAATATTGCAAAATTTACCAACTTTAAAATGTAATATTATATGATAATATATTAACATAAAAATGTTCTATTTTTACCGAAAAAACAAATTTCATTGAATAAAATGTCATAAATAATTTTTCAAATTTTCAAATCAAACGTGTTTTTGATTTTCTATTTTAAAAAATAATTTTTTTTAAATGACAAACCAAACACGTGGTTTAGTAAAGACACAACTTGGTTATTGACAAATTGAAGAAGTTGCAATAATTTGATTTTTAAAAGGAAAAGATATTTATAGGTATACAACTCTATCATAAATACATGAATATACTTTACTCTAAATATTTCAAGCTAACACGATTAATCTAAAATAATCAATGTCATGGTAGGTGTTGAAATATATGTCAAGTTTTGTAATCACCTTCGTGGGAATAATTATCAAAAACTCGCAATCGTATAAGTTTGATTAGCTTGGTTGTGTTGGGGTAAGATTAGATTATCGAAAAGTTTCGATACTCAAGCCTTTATTTGACAATCATTATTTTGAGAAAATTGAGTTTGGAATAGTGATGTTTTAGAGAATGTGTGATTGAAAAGTGTCGTTACAAAAGCAAAATAAAAATAAATAAGAAATTGCGTTAAAAATTTAGGAAATAAAATTAAAAATTAATGATGTGAACTCGAAATATTTTTATCTGCATTCATTCAACATATTTTTAGATTTTTTACATAAATAATCATTAAGAGTTTGAACTAACTATATTTTAGATTTTTTCATAATTTTATTTTCTCAAATTATTTTATTTTTTATGTGTATTTTTTTAGAAATTTAGATTTTTTTTCTCAAAATTTTTAAATTTTATTTGTTAGAAATTTATATTTATATTTAAATACTTATTTTCAATGTTTTTGAGTTAAGCTTGATGCCATGCGACATATTAAACAAGAAAAATAAAAATTGCCTTTGGACTCGAGCGTCCAACTCAAAAACACACTCATAGGTTTCGTACAAACTTATACACAACGGAATAATGTTTATACGAAAAATGATACGAGCAATAAATTCCTTTTCAATTATTCATCAATCCTTTTCAAAAAAACCACATATGAATCCCCTAATATTTACCCTTTTTCTGCGGTTCAATTTGTGAGAACAAAAAGGTGGATTTGGAAGGATAAATATATGTGCCTAATTTGTGTTTGTTTTCCCTTTGTGGCTAAAGTAGGTTGAAAATCCTTTTCTTTGCTCCCACTTCTTCTCTCTTCAATGCAATTCATTTTTCTTGCAATCTTTTCCACTTCCAAGTCTAAATTATTGGCACATAATTCATCATCTGGTGAAAGTCAATGTCTGAAACAAGTTTAACTTATAAGTTAACTTTTGTTTTGTCCAATTTTAATATTTTGATTTTCCCCATTTAAAAGTATGTTCTTTGTTCAAAGTCTTGTTTTGTTTTTTTTTCCACGCATGGAATCTTCCTATTATTTGTTGTTCGTTTTCCATGAAATTTGTATCACAAAAAGGGTCGTGTAGCTAGTCAATCGTACCATTTCATAGGGTTAAATTAGAATGGAGATGAACTACAATTATTCTCTCGCACATTTATTAAAATCATATTTTAATTTAAGTCAAAGTCAAACAATTAATATTAATCACATCTTTCATGGGTCCCACAGCTTTTCAACCACAAATTTCAAAAACTTTTATCAAAATCTACTAAAAATCTAATTTTAATCCCTACCAAACACCCCTTAAGTGGGTTATTTTATGCTCGAGCTCAATCTCGTCTCATCTCTTTGAACAATAATGAATATGATAAATGTATGATTGTTACATATCTGTATTACGAAAACTACAATAATTTATATTCTCGAAACCTATCAAAAATATGCAAAATTGAAATATTTTACTCAATTATTATTTTATGCTTTTAGTATTATTCCTTAAATTGCTTGGAAATATTCTCTTGGAAAACAATAAAGTGAGAGTAAAAGAAAACGCTATCAACTTTCATGGAAAGGGAAAGGAAACAGCTCTTAACGACCACGGTGAAGTTGAACACGGCAGCATATATGACACGTTTCAAGTTCTTGCTATCCTGCGCCTATCATTAAATTGTCGTGAATCGCACACGCGTGCCAAACGGTCAAGTATTAGAATCCCAAGAAAGAGAGAGAGAATTCCCACAGAAAATTTGATTACATAAAATAAAAAAGTAATATGTACGAGAGTAATTAATCCGCCTTTGCATGTACCTCGCAATGCACGTGCTAAAATGCGCCTATCTCTTGTCTCTATCTTACCTAGCCTTTTACTTTATAGAGAAAATTGCACCCTTGGTGGCTATTATATTGATTTAGTAACAAATTGGACCCTAACTTTTAAAAAAGGGTACATTTGTATCCAACCTCTGGTGACTCAGGGACACGTAACTATTTTTCTTTAAATTATAGCTAGTAAGAGAAGTGCAATCAACCCAACAGACTCAAGAATCCATTCCCAATTCTTTATTATTCTTTCCTTTCGGAGAATAAAAAACGAGACCTCTAACTAAAATATCAACTAATGGATAGAAATACAACTTATTTCAAAACTTATATAACTTGTAGGAGAGACACAATGAACTCTTTATCACCGGAAGGCTCGGGTTTCACTTCAAGCGCTATTTATTTTAGGCCAACCCCTTACATTACAATACAGGTCCACACACGTGTTCATGTGATACTCCAAGCCATTTTAAGTCTTGCACACGTAGTTAGAGTCCTCTGTAAAGATTTGAGAGAAATACACCATCGGAATAACAATGTAATTTTCTCGCACTCCATAAATTGTTCGTACCTATACAAAATAGTACTTATAGAAAATAAAAAAATAAAAAAAAAAGGTTAAAATCATGTTGCAAGTAAATAAAAAAGGCACGACACATTATTATAAGGACAATCTGAAAAGAATTTATTATTTTATAAATAGATAAACATTTTTTAATAAAATAATATTAAACGCAAGCTCAAAACTTTTTCTTATTTCTAATCATACATTATCCAATAAAATTTTATTTCAAAATGCATTTTGGACAAAAAAAAAAATGTTGCTCAAACCGGTCGCTTAGTAATGAAAATATGTATAGTACTTATAAATTTATTGAAATTGAAATTTTGATCAATTCATAAATAATTTAAAAAATTCAATTATTCTAATCACCAAGACCAAAAACTACAAGAATGGACGAAGAAAAATTTCCGAAGTCTTAATTTGAATAAGAATGTATGGTGCAACATCTTTTGCTAAGAATTATTAATAATTTTGATTTATATATATATATCATTTCCAAAAAATGCATTAAAAGCTACGAATCATCACCATTGATGCTTTATAACGACTAACATCGCTTTCAAATTTTATTTTCTAAGTATGCTACAATATTAAAGTTAAACACAAGATTTCAAAGAAAATGAGCTTATAATCCTATGACTATGTAAAATCCCTTAGTTATTTCTGTATTGGAGAGTCCAATGTATGCAAGCAAAGGTTGTCTATTTTTCATTTCCATACAATATAATCTGACTCTTTCTCTGCTTTGTGCGAATACGATTTCGTGTGGAAATAGCATTGCTCTGTTTATGCACGCCTTTTCTTTTTCATTTCTTCAGCTCCAACCTTTGCTCAGTCTAAAGCTGCAACAGAACAACTATTTTCAGCAAGTGTGGGCGCAGGATAAGAGCATGCACACACTTACCAGTTTCAAGCAAGCCCCTCAATAAAAAAATAAAAAAATAACCCAAAATACAAGAAAAAAAGAAAAGAAAAAGAGAAATAAGAGAGAGAAAAAGATTGAACCTTTTGGTGTTGTGGTGATGGAGAAAGAACAAAGGGAAAGACTTTTGTTTTCATAAAGGGCACTCTTCCATTGAAAGGTCAATTTCTTTTGAGAAAATATAAAGAGAACAAGGGTGCAAAAAGGGTGGAACACTTGATGATTCTACCACTCATGCTTTGATCCGCGTGCTTTGATGGCAAAAAAACCTGACCCCTCTAAATTATGTTGTATGTAATTTTTTTACTTTTCCTTTTTGCTGTTGATGGAGTGAGGAGGGGGAGAAGAGGAAGCCCCACTTAGATTTTTCAGTAACTTTTTAAAGTGTGTTTTATTCCTTGGTTTTGGATTTTTTGGGCATGCTCTCAGTCCTATTTGATTGGTTCCTTTCATGCTTCTAGATTCTCTGAATATTTGTCTTTGCTCTATTTCTCTGTCCCTCCTAATAACCATGTAATTTCTTTCTTTAGGTGCCTTTTTATTTTTTTCAACAAGAATATGTGAATTTGCCTCTTTGTAAAAGGGTGTGATTTTTGGATGGAAAGATGCTGTCTTTTTTATTGATTGGTTGATACAAGGATGGCTTCTTTCAGAGTTTTTTTGGCTTTGAAGTAAGAAAGGGAGAAGCCTTAGATACATGGGTTCTGTTCAGGAAAAGCTAAAAGTTGGAGGCTTGGTTGGTGGGGCACATAATCTGCTCGAAGAGATGAAACTGCTAAAAGAAATGCAGGATCATTCTGGTTAGTTAATTTCATCTATTACTTACTCAAATATTTTATATCTTCATAGATTTGTTTTGAGTAGTAGACTGTATAGTAAGTAGATTTAGGCGAAGGTGAAAACTTAAGGGATTCATTGGTAAAAACACTTGCAATAATCTTGTAAGTTCTTCATTCATATTTCTTATGATCTCTGAATTCTTACTGTTTTTAAACCTTGATTTACTACAGGGACAAGGAAGACAATAAATTCTGAGCTATGGCATGCGTGTGCTGGTCCATTGGTTACCTTGCCTCAGGTTGGAAGCCTTGTGTATTATTTTCCTCAAGGACATAGTGAACAGGTTTGTTCAGTGAAAATCGAAGTTCTTCTGCCTTTATTTACTGTTTTCCCTTTATGGACTTAATGATTTGCTAAGCAAACTTATATATCAATCTTCTTGAGCAAGAAAGTAAACTGATGTGTGCCAAAAATGTAAGCTGGAAGAGGATGATGATATAGGTTTGTACTTTCTTGAATTGTTGGGGATAATTTCCTGTTGGATTTGTGGCAATTAGTTCCTTTTGCTTTACACCAGGACAAACCTTGTCAGTATTTATGAAAATTAATTTATATTTTGTTGGAGTTCCTGCTCCCCCCGCCTCTCCATGTAATTCTTTTACCCTAGGCTACGATCCTTCAAGTATGTCAAGGATGCTGCAGAATTGATCAAACCTTCTTTAAGTTACTCATCTTTCCTAAAGTTACAAATAGTGAATAAAATGAGAAATTGAAATGAGTTATTTGAGGTACAAGTGACGAGATAAGTTGAGATGTCATAAAAGCATTCTCCTATTGATGACTTGCCTGCCACTCAGTTTTGGAGTTTGCAGATTTTGTCCTCAAGGAGTATCACTTTAAAATAATGTATAAATTGGCATAAATACAAAGTGCTTCTTAGTTATTGAACTCTAGCACCATGTGAAAGCAATGAGAAATTTTTGTGAGTCCTTTTTGTTTATGGGAAAATGATGATTCAGTATATTGTATATAAGGAATGAATCCAAGGACAAGCAAATCTTCATCTTCCTGCAAATGTTGGTAATCAAAATTGTGTTACCAACTACTATAATTTTTCCAGAACGTCTGGCTCGATTTCTTTGTCCTTTTAAGATTTTATAGATTCCTAGGACAAAGCTTCTTTTCCTGCTTATTGCATCATGGATCTTTCACATTTCTATTTCCTGCTTTTATCATCTGAAAGAGTAAAAAGCAGAACAAAGAAACACTTATTAGCTGTTCTGTGGACAGTTTATATTAGTATTTATGCTCTCTTGTTGAATGCCATAAAACTGTATATGACGTAGTAAATTCTGTCTATCCTATCGATATATTGTTAAGAGTTTAGCTTCAATTTGATATGACTTTGTCTCGTCTAGTTACGTAATACATCGTGTAACTTCTTATTTTTGGGCAACAGGTGGCAGTATCCACCAATAGAACAGCAACTTCACAAATACCCAACTATCCTAATCTCCCTGCTCAATTGTTGTGCCAAGTTCACAATGTTACACTCCACGTATGTATTTCTCTTGATTTTTTTCTGGTTCAGTACAGTGAAAAGGATTATATGCTGAAATAAATGTGCATTCGGTTTCTTGGAATAGTTATTGTTCTCTTGACTTTCTTGTGATCAATAGGCAGATAAAGATACAGACGAGATATATGCCCAAATGAGCCTTCAACCTGTGAACTCTGTAAGCCTGGCTACTGCAAACTATTTTTATTACCGTACTATTATTTTATGAAATTAGCAAATATATTGCACAATAAAGAACAGAAACTGTCATTTTTCTTCAGAAAATTTTTCGTTTCTGTGGTGATAACGTAATATTTGATCAGGAAAAAGATGTCTTTCCCATACCAGATTTTGGGCTAAAGCCTAGTAAACATCCAACTGAGTTCTTCTGTAAAACTTTGACGGCAAGTGATACAAGCACACATGGTGGCTTCTCAGTTCCTCGGAGGGCTGCAGAAAAGCTCTTTCCTCAATTGGTGAGGTTTTTTATTTCTGAAAGATTTCGTTGCTAGCTGTTGTCATATGATCACTTTAATTGGTGTACCTTTTAATGCAACAGTTAATGAATTCTTTATATCCGTTTCAGGACTACTCGATGCAACCTCCAACTCAAGAGCTTGTTGTACGAGATTTGCATGATAATACCTGGACTTTTCGTCATATATACCGAGGTGATCATTCAAGGGTTGTGGAATGCCTTTATTTTTTGAAGTATCTCTTTACCATTTTTATTTCGTTCTTGTTTAGGTCAGCCGAAGCGACATCTACTCACAACTGGTTGGAGTATGTTTGTTGGTGCAAAGCGTCTTAGAGCAGGCGATGCTGTTCTGTTCATCAGGTACTTTTTATAAGCACTTTGCAGAGTACTTCATCCATGTGCTTAAATTTACAGAATTAGTCCTCCTTTTGAGACATCACGTGGTAATTGTGTGCCTGAGCATAAATGTTTACCAAGTTCGATACTAAGACATCCCATAACTACGCAGTCGGCTCCATTTGCCAATTATGAGGAAAATTACAGTATAATATTCTCCCTACAGACACTTTCAATAATTATAATTTAAATGTATGTGGTAGTTGTTAATCAGTTGTGCTACATGTACAACACAACTTACATATTTGATTAACAACAGATAATGCAGTGAGATTTGATTGGATCTCATCAACCGAATTAAAAAAAAAAAAAAAAATCTCCCCACTACCTTTTTGACACCTTATCAATCTGTAAAAGATTATATAGAAGGTGATGTACCACAAGCATTTTCCATTGTTAATTGTTATCCTTGCAACTATCTGGCGTGGCTCATACCCAACGCTTCCTGTTCTGGTAGTGGCAAATCTGAATCCTGTCTATTCGCCATCCTTTCCCATCTGGATCATATGTTTTTGTTCCGTACATGGAGGTTATATATTTGAGATATGCTATAATTTCTCCTCCTTCCTAATAGGGATGAAAAATCGCAATTGTTGCTGGGAGTGAGGCGTGTCAACCGTCAGCAAGCGGCTTTACCATCTTCAGTGCTGTCTGCTGATAGCATGCACATTGGAATCCTTGCTGCTGCAGCTCATGCTGCTGCTAATAGAACCCCGTTTACTATTTTCTACAATCCAAGGTACCTCGGATATACATTTTGGGCCCTAATATAAACCAATGAGTAACTTGATTATACTGTAATTGTTCTTTACTTGTAGGGCATGCCCTTCAGAATTTATCATTCCTTTGGCTAAATATCGAAAATCTGTATACGGTACCCAACTCTCTGTTGGTATGAGATTCGGAATGATGTTTGAAACTGAAGAATCAAGTAAACGCAGGTAAATATTATAATGCACGAGGACGTTAATTCGTTTTAGCGTTTTCCAATCCTTTCTTTGACGCATTTCTCCATTCTCTGACAGATATATGGGCACTCTTGTTGGTACAAGTGATTTAGATCCACTGAGATGGCCTAATTCAAAGTGGCGTAGTCTTCAGGTGAGTAAAGTATATCAATATCATTCAATTATTTCTCCCTAATTGATATTTGTTCCCTAAATGATGTTGGATGTTAACCTCTCTGATCGATAATTCTCGAGGCACATTCTCATGGTTTTTAGTCTTTGACTAGATATTCATCTCTGATAACAGGTCGAGTGGGATGAGCCTGGATGCGGTGATAAACAAAATCGAGTTAGTCCTTGGGAAATTGAGACTCCTGAAAGTCTCTTTATATTTCCATCTTTAACTGCAAGTTTCAAACGTCCTTTCCACTCTGCGTTCCTAGGTAGTTGATTGTCATTCAAAATGACTTCTGCTGCTCGTCATTGGCATGAATTGATGTATTTTATATTTTTCTGTAGCAGGAGCACAAACAGAATGGGATAATTTGATTAATAGACCTTTCGTTCGAGTTCCTGAAAATAGAAACGAGGACTTTCAGTGTCCCTCAGTATCAACCCTGTGGTCAGAGCAATTAATGAAGATGCTTATGAAACCTAATGGAGTAAACCATCCGGGAAATATTGCACCTTCTATGCTAGAAACTACCATTAATGATACTGCCTTGCAAGAATCTAAGGCACTGCTGCAATCGGTAATCAAGCAGAACTCTGAGCTGATCTCGTCAGGAACGGCATCACTGCAAAGAGAAACTTATCCTCAAAGCTTTGTTGGCCAACCAAATATCACCAACTTACGCAATTTTGGAACTAGTTCGGAATTGGAAAAAATAGAACCTGTACTTGCTACGAATCAGCTAAGCCAGTTTGAATCTCAGGGGCCGAGCAATGAAGAGAAACTGTCAGCGAAGCCCATGAATCCTCATAATCTTGTAACTGATCTAGCAATCCTGAACCAGGACAGTGGCTCATTACCTTTGCAAACAAGTCCATGGATCATGCAATCACGTCTGGACTCACAAATATTGCAGAGTCCACAAAGTGATCCATCTCAATTAGATTCTGCTAATGTCAACAGCTTGCTTCAAAACCCTGGTAGGATAGAATGCAATTCATACGTGCCTGTGTGTCATCCTCCGACTTCATCTTTTAGCACTCCTCCGACTTCATCTTTTAGCACTCCGGGATATGCATCCATTTTGAAGAGATCAGACCAGCCTACTACGTCGGCAGAAATTGTTTGTCCTGTACTGCCTTCAACAGGACAAGGATTGTGGGATCCTCAGTTTAACAATCCCAAGTGTGCCTCCCAGGAAAACCTTGTTGATCCGTCACCCCATCATGACTTGTCTAATCTTCAGTATGCATCAAGTTCATATGGCTTGAAAGACTTGTCGGAAGAGAGTCATCCCGAGAGTGATATATATAGTTGTCTTAATCTTGACGGTAGTAACAGTGGAAGTACAGTAATTGATCCTTCCATTTCAAACGCAATATTGGAGGATTTCTGCACGTTAAAGAATGCTGACTTCCATAATCCTGCAGATTATCTGATAGGAAACTTCTGTTCGAGCCAAGATGTTCAATCTCAGATTACATCAGCTAGTCTAGTAGATTCTCAGACTTTCTCTCTGCAAGAATATGCAGACAATTCAGGCGGGGCATCCTCAAGCAATGTGGATTTCGATGACACTACTCTTTTGCAGAATAGCTCATGGCAGCAAGCAACTCCGCGGTTCCGAACCTATACAAAGGTAAGCAACGTACTACAAACAAAAATTCTCAGCAACTTTTAACGCTGTTATTTCAGGAATGCTATGTTCATATCATGTTGAATTTTACTTAGATACTCTTTCCTGTCTGCTTCTCTCGTGCCTTGTATTTTAAGTCTATTTAGTATTTACTACTCTCTTATCTCAATACGTTATATTGGGTGACAATGTATGTGGCAAACAACAGATTCAAAAAGCTGGATCAGTCGGAAGGTCGATTGATGTCTCAAGTTTCAAGAATTATGATGAACTGCGGTCTGAAATTGAACGCATGTTTGGACTTGAAAGGTTGCTCAACGACTCTGGTTCTGGTTGGAAGCTAGTTTATGTGGATTTCGAAAATGATGTTCTTCTCGTTGGGGATGATCCGTGGGAGTAAGTTCCATTTTTACTCTAATTTTCATGCGTAATTTCATTATGTTCATTAATAATAACAGTCCACCATTGTAAATTTCTGCACTTGCTGTGTGCAAATAATTTGTTTCACGTTTTCTTACAAAATTTAACACGACACGACTATGCAGGGAGTTTGTTGGTTGTGTGAGATGCATCAGAATATTATCGCCCTCGGAAGTTCAACAGATGGGTGAAGAGGGAATGCAGCTTTTAAACTCTGCTGCAGTGCAAGGGGTAAGTGGCGAAGGAGGATTCAAGCGAGATGGTCCAAACTGATTTATGCAGTGGATCTGTTTATCGCGAAAACATGGAGTTTGAGCTTTCTTTTTAAAGCGTGGAATTGTAATGTCTGAGTGAACTCTTGAGTTAAAAAGACGTTTTAACGTATGAAGTCTTATGTTTGGCATAGAGCTACGTAATCGAATGAGTGCTAGCTAGCATGAATATTGTTTCTAGTGGAGGCAAGATCCCAAGTGGGTTCGATGTGTTCATGTAAGACGTCAGCTGTATGTCCGTGTCACCTGTTGAGTTGGAAGCAAGGTTCGGGTCGCCTTTGAATATGCCTCTAGGCATGAAAAACTATTTCTTATGATACTGTGGACGTGAACAGATTGTCTGCTAGCAGAAAACCTTTACCAGGTAACCTTCAAAGATCAAGCAACAAAACAATGCATTTCTGCCTAGCATTAATAGATCCAATTCCAAGATTGAACTGTGAGACATACTACTGTGGAATTCCATCAAATCTCATTGTCACTATGAAACTTGAAAGAGCCAACATTGGATTAAAAAAAATGAATTTGACTTGTGCGGAAGATATATAATTTAAATCAATAAATTTGCCGCCCTTTTAACCACTTTATCTTCTGGATGATGTTGCAACACCAACTTCTTTATTAAACCATTGGCTCTCAAATAACCTGTCTCATTGTAACGAAAGGATTCAATCCAAGTCCAAAACTTGGGGCAATTAATGCTTTGTTCGTGGAAATATATAATATTAACTTTTGAGGAGGAACAGTAATGAATTCCTTGAAATGTATAGATAATCCATTATGAATGTGCAATGACAATTCGACCTCGACAGAATTGAAAAAGAAGATTTTTAGTAAAGCCAAACAGAGTCTGAAATCATACTCCCTCTTTGGTTTTCTAAAAAAATTTAATAACAATCTAAGTTTAAATTAACAACTAATTTAACTGCAATCTCATAAGATCCACAACTTGTATCAAATTTCATCAAATTTTAAATCTGTACTCAATAAAAAAGGAAACAAGTGGACTAGAGGAATCTGAAACTAAGGTAAGATATTCATATTATGGTGATTTCAAGAGGAAGTTGGATCTAACACCTTGTTATGCCAGTGA